TTGTCTGCCAAATGATATTTACTAATAACTTATTCTGGAATTTACCTCTCAGCAACTTTTGATTCCATGGGACTGTACGGCATAGAGATTGTTAATTCAATAGGATCTTGTTAAAAGACATGCCTAAATTAATAAAATTGGTCTAGATTTTTATTTGAATTTACCATACAAATTTTTTGGCCGGCATATAACAAGACTTGATGTTATTATTATGTTATTTTATCCATAACTAAGATAAATTTAATATTCGCCCAAGATTTCGTGAGATTGAGCTATGGATTCATTTGAAATTGGTGTGGAGAGGATCGAAGCGAGCTAGTTTGAAAATTAATTTACAACAAACAATACAAAACAGCGAAAGCAGGAGTGATGTTATCGAACACGCCAATTTCCTTGGGTTAGTTCTAGTCATCACGATTTGTTCTCCTCCCCCCGAGGCCAACAAGGCATTGTCATTACTGGGAAAACGCCGGTATACTGCTGATGTAATATGGACCTATTGACGGAGTATCAAATATCAGTGTTTGACAATCTCTTTCATCGCGTCAGCATATGACAGAAGCGTTCGCCTAAAATTCAAAACCCGGCCGATAAACTTTAATAAAAAGCCGAAAAAGCGAGCGAATCGCGAAGAAGGATAATATGATCTAAATGTAAACCGATTATCCGAATGGGCCTTTTTAGGTGAAATATTAGAAAGAAAATGATAATCAAACTATGTAATCGCTCTGAAGTGGTAAAAGAAGGGGGTTCGAGCAAGAAAACCCACGAAAGAACTTAGAAACTACAATGACAGATGGATCGATACCTGCAAGGAAAACTTTTCAATTCGGGACGCGAGATGAATATTTTCCCTGTGTTTAGATGGAATAACAACTAATTCTAATTATAAAATTCTTAAATAATGGTGTTCAAGAAGGTTATAAAATTACCAATCTTCCTTAAAGGAATCACCCTATCAGTTTTTCAGCACAATGACCGTACAACAAACATTAATAAAAAACATTGCGATAATTGTTTTTTTAAACGATAAATATCAAAGCAGTATGACAACACTAACAATCGTTTAAACAAGTGTGTACAAATAATTCATGATAAAATAAAACGATTGCCCATCTAATGAATAATTGCCGCTATCGTCGAAAATTCAGGTCGTGTGATCTCTCTTGTTTTTTGTATCATATTTTATTCTTAGGAGATAACTGCTACATTTATTGAACCAGTTAATAACCCATTAGCCTTTTTCACATTTTGCTTAAAACAATAGATATGTTATCTTTAGATTACGTCAAGCTTTTCGATATTTTTGCGTTGTTTTTTTTCTTTTCTTTTTTTTTTTTTTTGATCCTCGATATTAATTTAAAATAGAAAAGGAAAATATTATTAATTTTGTTTTGTGATTAGTGACCGTTAATTGGGCACTCTCAACACGACACAAGAATGGCACAGTTACACAGAAGACAAACACGTTGAGCGCTGAAGATGATCTCAATAAAGATCGAAACGTTGGCACGATAAAGAAAATGTTTTTCTGAAACCTACATCACACCAGACAGCATCTCATGATTTCTAAATAAATATTATTAATTTTATCGAATACGTTATTACAATAGCACATAAAAAACACAAAACGAACAATTTAAAATGGTCTAATGAAATAACTAATAAAAGGAAGGGTTTTAAGAGTTTTTGTGTAGTGAAGTTCTTTGTAGTTCCTGCTATATCTGGAGGATGAGGTCCGATATTCATGGCCTCAGGAACGGCATGAACGGGATGTTTAAATTCAACAACAAAACTCAAACAAAAACAAAATTGGATAAAGAATGGAAAAAAGGGAAGACCTCTCAGTTGAGAACGAGAATGAGGAACATCTGCTGGTACACTGATGGATGAGGAGTGATCGTCTCTGGTACCAACACTTATAACACATGGGGCAATCTTGAGGAGGATTGTTAAAGGTTTTAGAACCTTTTCATTTGAAGCTGTATGCATTCTGGCTGGCATTCTGCCCATTGACGTTTACCTTCAAGAAATCCAAATCAAATTTTGAAGGGACTACTACACTTATAGGACCAAACTATGAAATTGATTACTGCTTACCAGTAGATAAATGGCCGCACTCGGCAATGTTACCTGAAATAAATGAAAACCTTGAAACGTCCGATCGTGATATTCAGATTTACACAGACAGAAGAAAATGAACGGCCAAGTCGGTGGTGCAGTAGAAATTTTCGAAGTTTCAATCAGAATTCACGAGGAAATACATAAAATGGAAAGTTGGTGCTCCGACAATCAAGCCGAACTTCTGGCTATTCTCGAAGCTTTAACGTGGCTAAAGGAATACAATCCAAACCCTGATAAAAGACCAACCAAAGAAGAACAATGGACAACAAGAAGAATGGACAGATTGCCAAGTATTCCCGGTCTCGATTCAGGACTGTCAAAACCACCCGTCTCTTGTTGAAGACATCAGGCAATTGGCTTTTCACTTAGAAAATACCGACGGTTGATCTATAAACATCAAGTGGATAAAAGCTCACTGTGGATTCACTGGAAACAAAGCAGCTGACACATTAGCCAAGGAGGCAGCCAACATCAAGGACGAAATTAACTTTTACCGTGTGGCCAATACACTCCAAGACGAGACAAGAAAGCAAGGATAGATGGGAAAAACAATGGTCGGTAACAACAAAAAGGGCTTCACATCAGAAGGTTTTTCCCAACGATAACTGCCCGAGCAAACTCAACATTTAAGCACCATTATAAGTTGACCCAAGTACTTACTGGGCACGGGAAAAACCGAGCATACCTTCATTGGTTCAAGATTATAGAGGACCCAAAATGTCATTGCCGTAATCCGTAGTAATCAGAGGAACAGGACATACTGTTCTACTGTACTTTATTTGATAAGCCCAGCTCAGAGTTTGAGCGGTACGTGATGACAACAGGAGGGGCAACGTGGGATACGCTTACGTAAGTTTACAGTGAACACTTTCTAAAGTTCCTCGACTCTAGAGACTTTATTTTATTGTGATATACCTGTGAGGCAGTTAAGACAAAATTAGAATAACATTACTAAATTCATTGCAATCTACACACAAGCACCATATATAATAAATAAAAATGTAATTGTTTGATATATTACATGCACACTTGTTATAAGCAAGTAATATAAAAATGAAGCAATTTTATATTTTAAAAATGAAATGAATAAATTTTAAAACACATTTTTAAAAAAATGGAACAGCCAGTACTCTACAAGATGACGTCTACGCAATTGATGGATATGCTCAGTTCAACCTGAACAAAGGTTACAAAAACTACGACATCTTTTTTGAAAAGTTGGATGTTACTCAGAGTTTGAGTCTTATCTAGTGGGTAAGATCCAATCTTTCAGAAACAGAACATAATAACAGAACATAAACATCGTACTCACCCACAAGGAGGCAGAAAAGACACCAGAGCATCTACTGTTTCGCTAGGACTGCTTGCTGGAGGAAGTGCTTTGAGGTGTACAGAGTAACCGTAGAAAAAATTGAATCATTGAACACAGCCTTCCAATCAAATTTTTTATAAAATATGTCATCGGTGTGCTATAGGTACAGAACGTGGTTTACAATAGCTCGCAAAGGGCGCAGTGTGTTACCTTAATATTACATCTGCATCTATCATATTAGGAAGGTTTATATTGAAGGAAAATAATTAAACAGAGCAGTTTTAGGCTGCTGTGTTAAATAAATCGGTTGAAACCCGCTTTCGCCTAACTTTCTAGTTTTTAATTGGCAAACTGTACAGCTATTTTTATATTTTAGTTTTATTACTATTATTAATAAAGGCAAGCAACTTCTAACGTTCATTATCTGCCTTGAACAGAAATATGTTTAGAGTGTCAATGCCTCAGCCACTACCAATTTTAGAGAGCAGACCAGCCATCCTCAAGAAATTGAAAAGTTTTTCTACTCAGTGTCCATCATCTGACAAAATCTGTCCCAAACTACCGGAAACACCACATGCAGTTCTTTCCGGCGCAAATCGAGTACAGACAGTAAAAGTATTTTCAATGTTAGCGGTTCTTGACATCCTTGACATATCGGTGGAGGTTCTCTCGCCATGAGAAAACCATGCAATGACCTCTTCTGAGGCGAGCTAGGACCGTTTCTTCCTTACAGGAGGAGTGGATCATTGTTTTGCATCTGTCTTAATTTCTCTCAGCTTGTTAAGGGTTCACGCCATTCATTATGCCACTTTTGTCAAATTGTTCTCTTGATGTGGTTGAAAAAGTCTTCCCCAGATACTTGATTTACCTTCCGTGATTGCCGATTTGACCGCCGCGTCAGCAAGAACATTACCACGAATGTCACAATGATGCGGAATCCAAATGAATGAGACAGTGACATTTTTCGGACGAAATTCCCTCGGGGCTAGGATTACGTCCTGAATTACGGGATTAAGGGGGAATTGATTCTGTATGGCCAGCAGCGCAGTTAGAAAATCCCGGGACAAGACCTCCAGTCTTTGTGTAACTTGGCAAACAATATTCAAACTTTTATTGAGCGCAACAAGCTCGGCAGTGAAGTTGCTCCTTATCATAGCAAACTTATAACTTCTGGAGTTGCTTACAAAGGCAGCTCTTAACACCGATTGAATTCTTGGTGACATCGGTATAAACGAAGGTCGTCTTTGTGATAAGGAAGCACAGTTTAAGAAATTCCTGTTGGTATATCTCAGGCGGGAGTGCTTTCTTTTAGAAACTTGGTGAAGTAGATTGATTCTTGGTTCAGGTAGTTGCCAGGGCGGATATCCATCTACTGTAAATTCGCTTATTATTTAATTTAGCTGGGAGGAAGTTCATATACTGCAGGAAAAAGTTTAAGCACATTGGTTATAAGTTACCGGTTAATGAGGTCCAATTAACTTAATTTACTTCTATAAAATCATATGCGATTATCTAAAAAAAAAAAAAAGAAGTGAAAATGGAAATTCAAATTCTGTGTACAATCACTTATATTTCGAAGTTTTAAACAGATCGTGTCGCTTCAAGTCGTACCCAAAGCCTCCGCGTCCACACCTACTGGATCCTATCTCGTCCTGTACGGCTCCTATGAATTGTGGAAGGATCTGAGAAGGAAGAGGCGGCGTACCCCAACATCAGCCATACCTCTTCAGTCCAAAAGCGATTCCTGGAGGGTCGAGCCATGGACCAGAATCCGGAGACCCCGTGTGTATGCAAGACGGATGAATCCCTCACGACGTCATGCAACCCCATACGTCAACTGCTCAACTTCGTCGGCATCTCCTACGAAGGCAACCAGCTTTTCGCAGGCATCGCCCGCAAATACCACATGCCTATTGATCACGTGAGTTGTTTTTGAACATAAACAATCTATTTCAACAATGCACAAACATTCATTATAACATCTGGGAGCCAAGTAGCAGAATCGTACTAATTTGTTTAATTTATATCATAACTACTGTCCATGAGAGATAAACGCCTGGTTAATTATATATATTTATATTTGAACAATGCTTAATAGTTTTCTAAAAACTTAACAATAGAGTGAAACTCAAGGACTGCTGGATTATTATCGTGGCATCTAAACCAGAGAGCTCCTGAAAGCAAGAAACTTCCTGTATTTATTTTGATATAAGACTTTTTCCGCTTAGTCTTCACGATTTGCTATGAGCTTATTTTTTCACCTAGCAGGTTTACATTTTTTTTTTTAAATTTTCTAAAAGCTTTCACCCATTTTCATTTATAGTACCTTAATTTTGATTGGACAAAATTCTATTCAATTGTCCTCAATAAGCTAAAAGCTTAGCGGTGTTTTATGTTCTTTTTTAGTTAACCGTTTTTCACGCGCGGTCGGTTCCGTTATCAACAATACATTCAAGAAAGCACTTGCGTTTTCTCTTTCGCTTTCTCCTATGGACATCTCAACATAGACAATAACCGACTTTGGTTTGTTTCGTGGATCGAAACTTAAATTGGCAATACTTTAGTTAGATTTACTATTGCTTTTTATGTAAAATAACTTTGTTAACACAAATTATACAACCCGTCGAACTGACATACAAGAAGAAACAAGTGGTACAAAGTAACATGCATAATTAGTATTAAAAATCAAACTTTTAACTTCAAAATTGTAAGAGTGCGATTGATTGATTGATCGATTATCGCTTTATTTAACAATCACTCAAAGTTTGGTCTCTAGGACCCCTCTTAAACCTAAAGTAATTACAGCAACATGATTTTATAAACTCTACTCAATCTACTATACACAACAAAGTTGAACAAATTAATTACTCTTACAAACTATCTACTTGGTTACAGTGGATTAACATATTCAAAATAAAAAGTAATCTTTAAATAATAACAAACGTAACCTCTATCAGGAGTAAAGACTAACAATAAACATTTCTAAGGATTTAACATTATACATTTAAGTGACATTTCTAAAGATACATTAACAACATCTAAACATGACAATCTTTGTACTTAATTAAGGAAAAAGAGAGGAAAAAATACAGTTTAATATTTTTACACATATTTTGATATACAATAATTTTTTTAATTTTTTCTAAACATACTTATTTTGTTATAATGCCGAATTTCAACTGGTAATTTTGAAAACATTCTCGCACTTTTAATTGCAAAGCAATTATTAAATATTGTGGTTCTATGTTTTATAATTTGTAACTGCTTACTTTTATATCTAGTGTTTACATTATGCACATCAGATCTATATGTGAGGGAGAAAGAAAGAAAGAAAAGGAGAGAGAGAGAGAGAAAGAAAGAGAGAAAGAGCGAGAGAGAGAAAGGGAAAGAGAAAGAGAAAGAGAAAGAGAAAGAGAAAGAGAAAGAGAAAGAGAAAGAGAAAGAGAAAGAGAAAGAGAAAGAGAAAGAGAAAGATAGAGATAAAGAGATAGATAAAGAGAAGAGAAAGAAAGAGAGAAAGATAAAGAGAAGAGAAAGAAAGAGAGAGAGATAAAGAGAAAAGAAAGAGAAATAAAGAGAGAGAGGAATAAAAAAGAGAGAAAGAAAGAGAGATAAAGAGAGAGAAATAAAGAGAGAGATAAAGAAAGAGAGAGAGAAAGAAAGAGAGGAATAGAAAGGAAAGAGAGAGAAGGAAAGAAAGAAATAAAGAAAGAAAGAAAGAAAGAAAGAGAGAGAAAAGAGAAAGAGAAAGAGAGAGAGAGAGGAAGGACGAGAGAGTGTGTGAGAGATAGAAAGAGAGAGAAAGAAAGAGAGAGATAGAAAGAGAGAGAAAGAAAGAAAGAAAGAAATAAAGAGAAAGAAAATGAGAGAGAAAGAAAGAGAAAGATAGAAAGAGAGAGAAAGAAAGAAAGAAAGAAAGATAAAGAAAATGAGAGAGAAAGAGAGAGAGAAAGAAAATGAGAGAGAGAAAGTGAGAGAGAAAACAGAAAGAGAAAGAGAGAGGATGAGAAAGAAAGAGAGAGATTTTGTTCCTCTCACGGCCTTCAATGTTTACCTGCAGATTCCTATTCTCTTTAATTAAGGCTTCTGCTACAGTTGCTATTCCAATGTGGGGTTTTTAAATACTATACAATGGGAAGTTACTAATCCGTCAAAGGCATCTGTTTTTCTGAATTTAGCTCCTTTTTATTAGTAAGTTATGAATTTAGTAATCATAGAACAAGATAGGGACATTAATTTTTATTTAATATCCTGATATCTTATGAGGTAGATTTTAGGCATTTTTATTTCTCTATGAAGTATCATTTCTTCCTCTGCCATTTTCCTTTTGTATACTGCAAGTCGTATTATCGCAACGTGGGCAGTCTTACGAATGGCCCCTAGCGGGACACTGGGATATAATAATCCAAGATCTACTTCGAGGTGATTTTTTTTCCTAACTTCTGCTCTTTAAAGAGGAAAGCATCGGAAAATAGAATGTATACGGTAAAAATATTTTCTTACTCAGAAAACACAGGTCTTTTCCTGTTTATACCGTTGGTTCACAAGTTGAAAGTATATTGTCTCTAATGCAGTGTCTCTTAAGAGAAAGTTCAAATAACATTTTTCGTAAAATAGTCACATCTCAAACCAAACCGCTAAGCTTAGGAAGATTTCTTTTGAAATTGAAATTGAGTAATTTGAAAATTTTATCGTTTTGTACAACATGCGTATTAGATCAAATATTTCGAATATTCCAAGCATTCCTGAGCCCTTTATAATGTTTGCAACCTTAATTTGTGATGCAATGAAAATAATAGGTACAGGTAATAAAAGGAATAAGTAGGATTCTTGCGAATTAATCATTGTTGAAAATTAGCTCTTAGTTAGGGAAAATACAATTCAAAATACAGACCAGATTTGATTTTAAGACTGGATAATTTACGTGTTTGGTCGAAAATGTGAATACTCAATTGGCCAAAATTGACAACGTGTTTGAGAGCTTTTGGAGGAAAAAGTACAGGAAATATAGTCATTTTATACTTTAAGCATCCATACATTCTTTAGGTTTATATATCACTAACAGGAAAAATGTATGATATAAGAAATTTTGAAAGGTTGTAGGTTGAGATGGAGGTCAATTGTTAATAGTTTAAAGTTCAAATTGTTGATTTTAAAATGATAGTATAACGATTATTTGATCTACAAATGGCCACTAATTCTTGAGTTGTCATAAAAATGTTCATGCGACACGAAAAAAATTTGGTAAGATAATTTCAATATTGTGTAACAACAAGCTTTGATCAATATTTTGAGGTCTGTCAGCTTTATTTGGCAGTATTGGTGGAAAACACTGAGGATCAAGATATGATCTTGAATAAAACAAATTTATTTGCTACTGCCAAATTTTCGACATTTTAAGGTAATTATCAGGGCAAAACAACCTTAAATATTGATTGACATGCATATTTAATTACTTAATCTTTATGTAAGGTATTGGTTGAGATAAAAAAGTCAGTGTCATGAGCGGGATTCGAACCCACGACCTTCGGCTAAATACGCCGCTACTCTACCACTTGAGCTATCGAGACTTCGGTCCACTCGGACACCAACTTCCCATCCCAACCTACAACCTTTCGAATTTTCCCTCCATTTGCCACCGAGAATCGAATAGAATACACATTTGAACAATGGCAAAAAGGAGGGAAAATTCGAAAGGTTGGATTGAGGTGGGAAGTTGGTGTCCGAGTGGATCATGATAGTTCAAGTGGTAGAGTAGCGGCGTATTTAGCCGAAGGTCGTGGGTTCGAATCCCGCTCATGACACTGGCTTTTTTATCTCAACCAATAACTTACATAAAGATTAATTAATTGAAAGATACTATTTGGTCAATTGGACCACGAAATCTAATGAATACATATGTAAGTTTTTACAGGCCTGTTACAGTCCTTGGCAATGTTGATACTGAATCAGAAATTTGAGACCGTTTGTAAAAACTTAAATATGTCATTCTGTAGACGTATTTAAGGATGCTTTGCCCTGATGATGATAGAATAGGTCGAAAACTTGGCAGTAGCAACTAAATTTGCTTTATTCTTCAATACCCTACCTTGATCCTGAGTGTACGTAAGTTGGTGTCCGAGTGGATCGAAGTCACGATAGCTCACGAAGTGGTAGAGCAGCGGCGTACTTTAGCCGAAGGTCGTGGGTACGAATCCCGCTCATGACACTGACTTTTTTATCTCATAGAAATAATAATTAATTGAAAGAAGTAACTTGGTCAATTGACCACTAAAACGTAAATGGATTAGTATGATGTAAGATTTCTCAGTTCATTCTATCTGATGGAATATTGTGCAAATTTAACTGGCTACAATCAATATCCAAATGGAAATCAAGACTGGTGGATTTAAAAATTTGTTATGTTATTATTATTATTATTAGTTTCAGTAAATCTTTTGTAATTGTTGTAGACCGTGATACAGAATTATTATCAATTTAAGGTCACACATTTGAGCAATAGAAGAATGCAGTAACCGGAAAACACATTTATTTATTTTTCAAAAAACGGGAGTTGACGATTTCAGAAAGAAAAATCCAAGATTTTGCCAATCCCTATTGTCAAAACTGATTATGTCTAATCCACACGTTTTCTCTATTTTAGTGATGAATCAGACGCGCATCAGGCGATGTTATTTTTAGTGTGTTTGTGTTGGTTCCAGACAACGGTTCTGTTGTGATAGGTAATCGTCGAGGTTGAGCATCCTATCACGTACTACGTACTTAGGCCAACTTGTTCAAGAATTAACCCAATAAAAAAATATTAAGGTTAAAAAAAGTGATTGTACGAAGATCAACCTATTGTAATTGTAAAAGAATTGAAGTACCTATGGGTCACCATCTCAACCAAATTGCCTTTATCAAATAATTTTGTTAATAAAA